TGCGCCCGACGCACTGCTGCTTCAGCTGCTCAGACGCGCTGGGCCTGCTGCTCAAAACGCGCCGCGGGACCTTTTGCTGCGCCTTGACGCGCGTCAACCATTGACTTTGCATGTAAACTCGCTGCTTCTGTCGCGCCAGCTGCGTCCAGTGTGATCGCAGCATTAGTCATTCGTTGCGTTCGCCTCTCTGCTAAGCTCAAAAAAAAAACGCGCCTGGCTTCACGGAGAAACCAGGAGAACAGCTGTGCATATTTACGACAGTGCACATTTACTTTCGCCCTCTGGGGGGAGCCTCGCTGGAAAATCAACACCGGTTGCATAGTGTACCTTTAAATTCATATTGAAATGTCAAATCATTCTGGCTTAAACATGTATATAAATGTGCTCTTTATCAGGCGATATTGTCCCAAAAGTTAGAACATTTCTATAAAATATGTGTTTTTTTTTCATTATCTTATGCAGACCAGTTAGTTATACATCAGCTTGAACGCCTAAATTCGGCCAATCATATATCAACAGTCATCTGTCAATCACATTTTTTATCATAGCATCTTGATTGATATGTCGCAGCTAATATACGCAACGGTTTCCCATTGAGTTGCGTCCCAGTGTTCACGGGGATGGACGTCTGTGTTTTCTGCAGGCGTAGAGCTAACAGAACTGGCAGCGTTGCGAGGCAAGGGCTCAAACATGTACGGCTGGAAGCCTTCTACACCAAACCAAGCTTCTGCCACCCTGGCGTCCTCTTCCACAACATCTTCGTCCCTGCTTTCCTCCTCTATATAAAAATTGGATGACGGAGGAGACTCATCCATGACCTCTGATGTTTAGACATTGTCGTCAGACGACATGCAGTAATTTATAAATGTTTTAAATCAGGTTGGGTCCGGATTAGCCAGCAGGTGGTCTGGTCTGCTAATTAGGTGACTTCTGGTTTAAACGATGTATTAAATACAAACACCAGCTTAAAATGTATTTTTCTGAAATCCTCTAAAAGCAGGAACAATGGTACTTTTTTAAAACAATCTGAATCTCAATTTTGATCAAGTTTGGTTAAAAATAATAACTTTACACCCAAAGTTGGCTTTAAATTATGGTTGAACCTTAATATAACTTCTGTCTTCCAATGAAAAAACATGACAGTGTACTTTCTGTTATCATAATAGGATAGTTTCATGTTGCATTTTTTTCCCCTTATCAGCTACTTATATGATTGTTTCTATAAAGTACGACAGGTGTTTGATATCCAAGCATGAAAACCAATTGAACAAAAGCAAGAAGGATTCATGACCTGACAGACATGGCTGCTGCTCTGCGTATATAGGAAATAAATAGTGTTAACCAACATCCACTCTCTAAACAAACATTTTCTGATGGTACATTTTAAAATTTAAATAAATGTGTCCTGAAATGGACTCAGGTTTGGGTCAGAATTGGCTCTAATTGCTCATAAAATAGCAACAACTGCATGTGAACATGCTGTTGAGAGTGGAATAAGTATGAATGTAAAAACATTCTGTTCCCTGAGCTCACAGCAAAGCTTCAGACCTTTTTTACTGCAAACTTCTAGAAAAAAATCGAGCAAAAAAAAACAAAACAGGTTTGCAGCCAACAGAAGAGCATCATCTTTCATCTCAGCGAGAAAAAAAAACTCAGGGACAGAAAAAAGCTTTTTTAAATGTTACGCTACAAGCAGCTGTAAACTATAGTGAGTCATACCCAAAGCTCTCTGATGACACAGCTGTAAACCTAGAGAGATAAAGAAACTGCGATGAGCAAAACCAGAGCGCATTAAAACAAACCCTTCCTTCTTTGCTGAACTGCAGCTTAAGCAGATCTTAGCATCTGACAAAAACAAAGGTCAGAGTCACGAGTGCCATCTACCCATCACACCCTCTGCCTGCCTTACCTGTGCCCGGGCGACCCATGATGATTTGCTTGCGTGGCGCCGGGTGAGGCGACTCGGCTGGCAGTATGAGCGGCAGCAGGGCGGTCGGCGTGGGGTGACAGGCCACCGGCTGGGGCAGCGCGCTTCCTGAGGCGTCCTGGTAACCCTCGGGTTTCCTGTCCCTGCCTCCGGAGCCGGACGACGACAGAGCAGAGCCCGACGGAGCAGAAATCAACCCTGGAGCCGAGGGGCTGGACAGGGCTGCGTGGCCTGCTGTGGCTGGTGTCAAGGACTGCAAAGGGACATCAAAAAGGTGTTTGAGGATTAATGAATTATAGAACACTAGAAATAAGTAAAAAATGTCTTAAATTAAGTGTATTTACCCTTAATTTGAGCAGGCCAATGGAATGAGTATTTTAACTCCTAAAATAAGATGATTAGATAATATACACTTGAAATAAGACAAAGCAATTGTTTTTTTCTTATTTTAAATGTAAATTATCTCATTCCACTGGCAAAGTGTCTCACTTACCTCCTCAATTCAAGAAAAAAAATGCACTTAATTTGAGCAAAAATGACTTATTTTTTGCAGTGAACCAGTTAAGTCTAGCTAATTTACTCTAACTATATATAATATAGCATATAATTGTTGAGGGCCAGATCATTATCTGCAGTCAAATTTCCCATTTGTTTCTTTAATAATAAAATCTAAATATGGCTTTAATCGGTTTTAGGTGACATTCATTGCAACTGAACACTGAAATGTGACCTGCCACATTTACAACTAACTAACACCTCTGTGATTCTTACCTAAATATAATAATAAATAGAGCTTTGAATCCTGAGGTTCTGGGTTTGAGCCCGACTCCCACAGACTGCCACTCTGGGTCCCTGAGCAAGACCCTTAACCCAGCACTGCTCTTCGGGCGCCACAAGGGGATGGGTTACATGCAGATGTAAATTTCTCCAATGTGAGCTCAATAAAGTTCATTATTATTATCATTAAGTACTATTTGTTTAAACAGAGATTTTCCAAAGGAACAACGAATATCCAAGTCCTTATATCTCTGCTTCATCAACATAAATCTGGAAAGAACGGGGGGGCTGCACCATGTTAGGAAACTTTCATCACTCCTTTAGGCATTGAGTCTGCTGCAGACACATACTGCAGTGCAAGCAGTCCTGAGGAATATCCCCAATGAGCAAACTATCCACATAATGATGATGTCATGTGCAGCTCTTACTTAGAGTCCTGTGCAGTCTGTTTTTTTACACACACCAACGCAAGAATACCAATACAGCCTCATGAACTACGAACAGGCTATTTGGATTTATATACAATACTTGGTTTCTGATTTGTCCAACCAGACAACCAGAGGAAAAGCTGTAGCCTGGAGGACATTAGCCCCATTTACACTACCCTCTTGAAACCGGGCTGAGATCAGTCCGAACACGGTAACCGGGATAACTGTTGAGTGTAAACGGCAAGCAAAACTGAACTGGACCGTACCAGACACAACTGAACCGCGCCAACATGGTACTAGTTCATCAGTAGGGCTCGGCGGGGTTCAGTTCTGGCTCGGTTCTCAGATAACAAAGAGCGCATGAGCAGACCGCGTCATCTCCTTACATTCATAAAAATACTAGCTTCCCTACCGTGCCACACCATTTCCAGTAATGATTCTGCTTAGCAGTGTGGTGAACCTCAATGACGTTGTTTCCTGCATCTGTAAGCCCTGATTAGACCATCGTTTGTTGTATCTCTTCACAAAAGTCGACTCTGTCAAGTAAATTCATCAAAGGCTACTTTCTTCGCCTGACGCTCCGCAAACAACCAAATATCACAATGATATCAAAACATAAATTCCTGAATGTTACGGGCGCTGAAATGTTGGTTTGCTTGTTTATCTCAAGAGAGCAGTAGTACCGTAGATTGCCACTAGGAGGCGAGGAACGGTTCTAGCGCGGCTTGTAAACGGTCGTAAGAAACAAAGCTAAGAACGGTTAACTGATCCAAGCTCGGCACGGATCGGTTTTCAGAGCGTAGTGTAAATGGGGCTATAGAGTACCGAGGTCTGGGTTTATATTCCCTTAATTTTGTTTATTTGATGTAAAGCATAAGAGGGGTGAATGATGATAACCTTGTTTGACTTTAGAGAGAGTAAAGCTTTAGCAGCCCTGATCTCATCATCATTACATTGGGTGTTAAATAAAAACTCATTCCTCCATCTGGGACAGTTTACAGTACACAGTTCTAGAGAGTAAACCCCATTACCCTTCATGTGTGGTATAAAAAAAATACAGTTTTTCTAGAGCATTTCACATGCAGCACCTTTAGTAAACTGTTTGCCCACTTTAATATTTCAGCTGTTTTTTAATTTTCTTAAAAGAGGAAAATAAAGATAAACAAGTTTTTTAAATTATTAGTACATTTATAACAGGAAAAATAAGCCAAACCAACCACACCCCTTGTTTAATCATATGGTTACCTAATGATGCATAGTTTTTGGGAAGGTGAGTTCAATTAAGTGGCAACACCCAGGTCTGAGAGCCAACAAATCCCTTACAAAGAAGTTGAGGGAAAACAGGAGGTTTAAGGAAAAAGGGAATCTTAAAAACGGAACGGAACAGATGAGAAAGATTTCATCAGTTATTCATCAGGGAGGTCACAAAAAAAAAAAAACAATACTTAAAGCTCTGCAGGCCTTGCTGTATCAGTCAAGGTTGTAGTTCAAGGACAAGAAAACATATATTACTTGGGAAGGTTCTAAGTCCAGAGCTACACCTGACTCAAAATTAAAAAAAAGTTTTTTGACGATCTACAAAAAAAACAAAGCAAATAACCTTTGGGCTCTAGACAAAAGTGGCACCGCAAATTTGGGGGCTTCAGGACAACTACCTGCTCACAAATAGGCAAGTCTGTTCGGAAAGTTAGTTTCCCGTTAATAATTAAAAAAGAAATAAAAATAATTTAGCTTTGGGTGACATTAGGTGTTATATCAACTGAATAAATATGACATTCAGTTTTCACCCAGAAAAAAATGCATCAACTAAATATCGTATGTTTTTTTCCATTTATAAAACAAAAACATTGAAAATGGCATAAAAACATAAGTGTTTTCAAGTTTGTATTATAGGAAGTGCAAAAATATATATTGAAAAAAATCATCAGGAGACTTTTATGGTTAGTAGCCTTGATGATTGGAAACATATACTTCAGCAAGGTAACATTAAATCGGCAATAGTAAAGATCTGCAAAGCTAAAGGGCTTTCGCTGTAGAGAAAAAACTTACAGAACTGGAAGTGACCAGGACCAGTGTTGAGGCTGGGTTCCTGAGGAGAACCGCTGGATTGGACGTGGCTCCGTTAATAGGCACAGGGGCCTGCAGGCCTGGGGGAGCAGAGTGCTGTGCCTGGTTCTGCTCCCTTGACCGGCTTCTTTCTCTTCTCTGCAAGGGGCCGTCTGAGAATTTTGCCAAGGGGACGTCGGGGTTGCGGACAATGACCGGAGAGTCGCGAAGGGGCACTATGCGGCGTGGGGAGGGTTCTTGGGGCAGGGGAGAAGGGGTTGGAGACACAAGCATGGGTGGGGGCGTAGAGGCAGCAGAGGATGATGGCCTGCTGGTGGCGCTGCGAGGGCGTGAAAAGGAAAGTGCGGAAGGTGTTGTGGGCTGACTGTGGGGGGAGAGGACTCTGAAAGCAGCTTGGTCTCCAACAATGTTGCCCCCTACGCCCATCAGCTGCTGCTGATCCGATTTGTTTTGGTAGTCCAGGACAGCAGGTAGAGGAGGGGGCGGGTGGGTTTCCGGCCTTCTCTTGCTGGGACTCATTGGGACCGTAAAGGTGAGGCTGGTCTGAAAGGAGGGCACAATTCCTGACGGATGGCGTTCTCTGTCAGAACATGGCGTACCCATCTTAGTGCCACTGAGCTGCCGAGGGCGGCGTGGGGTAAGCGGGGCAGTGATTGGACTAAAATTGGCAGGGCGGAAGCCAAAGTGAGGCGAAGGAGATGGTGACGGCGTTGGTGAGAACGGGGACTGATTGGAAATGGGAGAGAATGATGGCGTGCCGGAGCGGGACCCCCCTAAGGAGACCAGCATATTCGCTGCCTCACACTCATCAAAGTCAAAACGAGAAAGGTCTTGGGGTATCAGGGAGGGCAGGACTAAGCGGGGACGTGAATCTCCTCCACGGCTGCTGGCTTCGCTGCTTTCCCTCGATGTCTCATCCCAGTCGAACTCTGAGCTGGCTCTTCCACCTCCCAGCCGTAGATCGGATGGCGTTAAAGTCCCTGTGCTGCTGGCTCCGCTGCGCTCCCGGCCGCCTCCACTTGCCTCCATTTCCTTGGTCCTCATTGAAAGATGTCTGGAACAGTATCCTCGTCGTTGAGACTCTTTGGAACAGCCCTCCCGAGAACACAACCTCCTCCACTGCTTCCCGTTGAACTTCTTTCGGATGCCTGTTGGTGTGCACACCACATCTCCCTTCTTGTACTTTTGCTGGGCAGCTGTAAGAGGAGTGCGTGAACGGTTTGTAGAGGAAGAGTTTGAACCTGACCCTGGTCCTCCTCCACCACTAGTTGCTCCTCCCCCAGAAGCCTTCTCTACTCTGGAGGATGTAGTGGAGGAGGAGATGGGAGGCAGAGAGTGGAGCTGGGGGCCTGTAATGATGGTGCCGGCAGTTGCATTATTTGAGTCAAGCCCTAACAGAACATTTGAAGGATTAGGGTGAGGGGTCAGGGCCAGGTGGGTGGAGGAAATCCCAATGCTCCGTACAACAGGCAGGTGGGAATTGAGGTAGCCAGATGGGGGCTTTGAGACAATCTGGTGGTGAACTGGTCTCTGTTTGGTCCCAGGTATGATTGCCCCCAAGGGGACCATGTTAAAGTGGGACACCTCCATGTCCTCTTCAGGGGTGAGTGGCATGTAGGGGTGGTGTTGCTGCTGCTTTGCATCGTTTTCCCTTTCTCTGTCTCTTTCTTGTTTCCGCCGACGCTCTCTCTCCATTTCCAGGTCATTAATTTCCCATTCTCTACCATGAGCCAGGCTCATCACAGGTGTCTGAGTAACTGGTGAGACAATGTTGTGGCCTGCAGTGGAGGAGACAGTTATAATACCTGGGTACGCTATTTCTCTGCCAAACATTGAGCCAATACCAGTGGTCATTCCTCGGCTAAGACTAGAAACTTCCTGTTCCACATCGATTTGTTCCCTTTCTTCAAGCTGTTTGTCCTTTTCTCTGATGCCCTCTTCCCCTCCATGGCCACCACATGATGGCAAATCCAGGTCCCATGGTGGTACTAGAAGCCGGAGAGTTTGTCGAGAGACCCATACCGCCTGGGTAGCACCTCTGCTATCTTCTACATCCAGAGAATGAGGCCTCCCCTCAGACAGAAGGACGCGGTAACGATTGGCCACAGCAGGGTGTGTGTCTACCTCGGTCACCACACCTTCTCTGTACCACTGCCACTGGCCCTCATTGCCATCCTCATTGCCAAATGGTACACAGACACGGGTGCCAACGGGTATTGTATTGACACCGGGTGGAGGTGCATCTAAGATTATTTCCACCACCCCTGAAGTGCTGTCATGTCGGTAAGGATACCTGCACATTGTCTTCTCCCCATTCAGTTGCACCTCCAAACAGCCAAATTCGCCGCTGACCTTACGGACCACTCCAGCCCGAAACACAAATTCTGAACGCCTCCGTTCTTCTCTTTTGTCACCTCCTATTTCCTCAGATTTTTGTCTTCTGCGCTGGCGAGCAAGGACACGTTGATTTTTTAACCCTTTAGCGAGGGTGTCTGACAGTGTGTCAAGTAGACTGGGTGTAGAATGAGATGTCTGTGTGGTCGCAGGCACGTCGCCAACCACTTCCAAGTCAGCAGAGTGCTCGCTGGCAGTGTCTGTTGAAGAACATCGTGGAAGGGGGCTTGGGGATACTCGCTCTTCACCTCCTGCAGGCCTGTCCCCTACAAGAGACAATGTAGGGGGTCCTGGAGAATCAAGGGAATTGTCTCTGCCTGATGCTCCACTGGGAAAGTTGTCCATCAGACTCATACTTTGACTGTTACTATTGGAGTGAGAGACACCGAGTCCTAAACCTGTTGACCCCTGGGTAAGGACCCCGTCACTCAGGGGAGGGGGGGTGGAGGATACAGGGGTGCTATGATTACTGGCAGTAGCTGTAGAACAGTGTTCAGAGGTGTACTTCTTTTTGGGAACACGGGCCTTAAAAGTGGCGGTTTTTCTGCTGGAGGCTGGATTCGGACTATTGTTTGCACTCGGTGTACTGCTGTTACTACAACTGCTGCCACCACTGTCACACTGGCTGCTGCCACTGCCGCTCAGTGCCGACCTCCCAGACCTTTCGTTGGACAATGTCAACAGTTTGCCTGAATCCATCACGACTGATACCATTGTATCTGACATTCCCTCCCCATCCGAAACGTCCCGTACCGCCATTAGGCCAGCCTGAGAGGAGTCTGAGTGGGAACTAGAGGAAAAAGATGAGGAGGGAGTTCGGTTTTGAGGAGATCTGCTTTCGTCTCTGTTCTCGTCTGAATCTCGCTTCTCCCCACCCTCTGAGGTCTCTCCAGCTCCACGGCGCTTCCCTCCTTTGGCCCGAGTGGATTGAGGGGAGCGCCGGCCTTGCTTCTTTATTGGCTTCATCTTTTTATCTTGTTGGCCTTTACTCCAAACGGATCTTGTTATTTATTTATCCCTAAGTATCTCCTTGACGTTTCAGTTGTTTTCTTGCTTCCCTTCTATTTTTTTCCTCTGTCAGGGCCGGTCTTTCTCATTCTGTCTTGCCTTTGGTTGTGCGACTCCGGCACTTGACCACTTTGTTTCAAGGACTCTGAGAGAAAGAAAAAAACAAAACAGAAAGCATGGGTTACTCATCTGGCATTTACACAAGAAAGCAGACCTAAGCAATGAACACAATATGGATAGCACTGAGAAGTTAAAACAAGAGATTTCTAATACGTAGCACCACAATAAAAGCTGGACATAAAAATGTTGCACTAGAGTAGTAATCTGCATATTCATAACACTTTAATTCATTACATAACAAATCCTACTCACATTACGCAAAGCCTGCATCCAGAGCAGGTACACAAAGAAAACAGGAGGCCATATTGTAGGGTAAACACAATGCAGGCTTACAACACAGCATGGAAATAGTGAGGAGCGCTATGCAATTTGCCCAGACAAGCCTCTCTGCTTGCTCTCCTTACTCACACACTATTTCTTGGCCGGGGCAGTAAAGGCAGGGGAATTCCTCCTGCGCTGACATTCTGAAACCCTCCCTTTTTTTTCCTCTCTGTCTCGCTCTCTCTTAGGCGACCTTTATCTGTGTATTTCAAAGCAGTCAATCCGCCCCTACGAACTCCATTTCCTGTGGAAGACATTACCTAACTTCCCGTTACTTTATTCCTCCCTCTTTCTTTGCTACTATCACACACCCGCACCCTCCAATATTGATTTTTTTTTTAACCTCTAGTCTCCACTTGCTCCCCATTTTCCTACTGAGCTGTAATCATCCAGAAAAGCCAAATAATTGTCCCGCCATAGAGAAGACCCTCAGAATACCTCTGGCTTTAGAAAAAGAAACCCTGATGGATTTTGATGATTTGTTGAACTGTTTGTTTGCAGGATTCAGGTCAATGCTGCTGTGTTTTTTTACTTAGTTTCTTGGAAAATTTGTCTCAGAGGAGTTTGAAATATGTTATAAATACGTTAATATGTTAACAACACGTAGACCAAGAGAGGGAATATAAACAGGCCTTGTCATCTTTCTCCAATACTTCACTCCTGCTGCGATTTGCTCTGTCAAAATCTTCTGTCTTGACGTCTATCAACCGCCGCAGAGGACTCTAGCTTGTCACTGACTGTTTTGTTGTTTGTCAACTCACATGTCTGCCTGTCTTGTCTGTCCCTGTTTCTCTTTCCAACCTTTCTTCCAGCCAATCCTTCCTCTTGGCGTGTCTCTGTTCCCTTTTTGCAGCCTTCTTGTTTGTCTGTGAAAGCTTGAGTTCATTCGGGGGCCTTTTAATAACTGCTGCCATCGCATCGACGGGAGAGGCACCCACATTGAGAGATGCGAGCCGCCTGTCTCAAGGCCACACAGCAAACATCCATGCAGGGATAGAGGGATAGTGGATAGCGCTAGCAGTGAGCATGCAGCCATCACCTCGCTCTATGTAAATCCCTATTTTGGACAGGCGACCGTAGAGAGGCTGTCATAAAATAATTTGGCAGCTGGCCTTACTTGGTCACGATAGAGGTATGCTGCGTGTGTTTACTCAGTAGTGCTCAGAGTACAACAGCTGGTGTCAAAGCCATGAGCTGAATGATAACGGCTTAAAGGTGAACTGATGCAATACGCACTACTCCGGCTGAAATTATGGAGCTTAAGTAAGAGGTAACAAGTTCAATTGCTTTTAATTTGGAGGAACAACGTTTGCACTGTGATGAGCTGACACAAACGCACACAGGCTGATGGAAGTCACACGGTGGAGGACAAAAAAAAAACGTGAACAGCCTCCTTTAAGGATGAATTACATAGACTGAGAAATCTTTTTACAGCCTAAATGACATAACTGAATACTACGTCAAGTCTTAAGTGAATCTTGTTGGCTATGGTCGGTTTAATTTGCTGTTCAAAGGAGGAAAACCTGATGGATATCTGCCGAGATGGTCTTAAACTGTTATTCTTCATGCTTTTAGAAGCTTATTTCAACATCCTCAGAACAGTTTGTTCACATGAATGATTGTTGAACTCCTAATTAAGTTAAGAAAGAGAAAAAAGTGGATCCTAAAACCAGCAAACCGGTCATCATCCTGCACACGTGGCACCCTAACAGTTTGACCCAGAGAAGAACAGATTTTAGCCGTAGATGAACTGGGGGACAAACGTTCCCTCAGATCCTCAGTGAGGTCTTTGCTCAACAACTTTAAAACTGTATGATATTAGGCACACATGTTGTAATGCACATGAAGCTGTATCAACTGAACAAATAACTAATCAAACAGCTTCAAACAGCTTTTTGTGAGGAACAAACAAGCATTACTTTCATAACACATATTCTGTTAAAGTTAAAGTCTAAATGAAAGTGTTGATTAGTGTAGCCAAAAGGGGACAAATCTGTTAGCCTTGATGGGCTTTACTTGTACATGAGCAGTTAGTGGACGAAGGTGAGCATAAAACAGGTAAAGGAGACCGTAGATTATTCTACTTCCTGTTTTCTGGAATGAGGGCCGGTGTTCTGTCAGATCAGAATACCCCGTCAGACCACAAAACTAATCCTCGCAAGATGAAAGATTTGCATTTATCCCTTTAGTTTTGTTTAAAAAATACACTTTAAACTACCTAAATGAAAGTATATCCCTTTAGTCAGGTACAAACAAGCAAAACTATTTAAGGTCTGATCACAATACGCTTCAAAAAAACACCAAAAAGTAAAACTAATGGTTGTTTTGTACATGACTAAAGAAAAACATGCCCATCCATAAGTATGTCAAAAAAAGATATGTCAATATCAATGTCCCTTGATAAATCATCTGAAATGAATGAAACTGAAATTAAATAAACATTTCTCAGCATATACTTTAGGCAAACGGGAGATATTAATACATTTATATGCTGCTGCTAATAAAAAGTCAAGCCGTACAAAATGTCTCCTGGTAAAATGTGTTGTGAACAACTTCCAGAGAAACAATTTAACTCATGCAGGCTGTTGACTTTTCTCACATTTATGACACTCCACAGCTTCCGTGGTTATTACACGCTTAGCCATGAGGAACAAACGTTCTTGGTCAGTCGGAGTTTATAAGTGCATCAATAGATGTGTATGTTAAAGTATTTCTGTTTAGGGTGCCGGCAAACAAAACGCAGACAGAATGAAGTAAAAGCTTCTCTTTAAGGCATCAATATTGTGAAAACTATATCTTTTTAAAGCGCAGCCTTGGAGCAGAACCTGGCATCGTTTTTTTGGGTTTGTTATCAGGCTGAGGCCACTAATCCACACTTCATAGACCTGTGCGGCTGGAGGTCCTATTGTGACTAATTCCACTTTGGTTTACCACCAAAAAGTAGTTGCACACTGTGATATTTTAATAAATGGTCATTTATTCTGTTTATAAACCCATGTTTAATTCGTGATATTTATGGGGTTTTTTCTCCAGCATTTTATTGTTGTTACACTGTCACAAGTACAGAGCAAAAAAATGAACTGCCTGTATTTAACCCATCCCCTTGCGGAGCAGTTGGCTGCAATTGTGCAGCAGCCAGGGAGCAGTGTGGGGTTAAGGGTCTTTTGCTCAGGGACCCTGAGTGGCCGACTGTGGGAGTGGGGCTCAAACCCAGAACCTCAGGATTCCAAGCACCTGACCACTAGGCCGCCACTCCCCAAAGCAGGCATTAGCGTGAAGGGTCTTGCCTAAGGACCCACGCTGGCGGCTCATTCCCCCCAAACTGGGATACGAACCCAGGCCTCCTGTTTGCAGGACAGCTGACTTACCACTTCAGCTAGCCAGCCGCTTTTCTTAGGTCTTTTGATGGAAGCAGACACTCTACTGCCAAGCGTCGGCTTCCTAAAACCTATTTTTGTGTGCCAAATGGGAAGCAAACAGAAGATTTTTGCACACTTGAATATTAACTAGATTTCCCCTTTTATTGTGAGTTTTGTGTCAGAAACGCCTTAATCAGAGAGCTTTTTTTAAAGTCGATGTTTTTGCATCACATCCGTAGTTAATTTCATTGCATTTGCCCGCCGGGCAAGTGCAATGATCGCAAAAAAAAACATTATTTATCACTCAAAATTACTTTAAAATCACAGATATTCCATGAAAACGACCCAGAAGCGTTTCCGGCGCCATTTTTGTTGTTTTGTTCACATTCTCGCATGATTTGGATAAAGCCGGGTGATTTTCCGCCAGATGGCATGATTTTTGTCCACCTAGCGGTAATTTTGATGTAGTTACCAAATCGACAATCAAGCTAGAAAGCGCTACTGTACCTGTGTTTCTGTATCATTTTATTCGCATAATCACTTAAAAATCACCTACGTTCGTAGAAAACGACCCAAAACCATTGTCTGCGCCATTTTTGTTGTTTTGTACACATTCTCATGTGATTTTCCGCCAGATGGCGTGATTTTTGTCCACCTAGCGGTAATTTTGATGTAGTTACCAAAACGACAACAAGCTAAAAAAAGCTATTGTACCTGTATTTCTGTATCATTTTATTCGCATAATCACTTAAAAATTACCTACATTCGAAGAAAACGACCCAGAAGCGTTGTCGGCGCCATTTTTGTTGTCTTGTACACATTTTCGCGTGATTTGAAAAAGCCGCGTGGTTTCCGCCAGATAGCGTGATTTTTGTCCAGGAATTGCCGCAAATAAGACACATTTTATTCGACTTGGCAGGCTCAAAAACAACAAGTCATAGCGTTGTCTGCGCCATTTTTGTTGTTTTGTACATATTCTCGCATGATTTTAAAAAGCCGGGTGATTTTCCGCCAGATGGCAAGATTTTTGTCCACCTAGCGGTAATTTTGATGTAGTTACCAAAAAGACAACAAGCTAAAAAAAGCTATTGTACCTGTGTTTCTGTATCATTTTATTCGCATAATCACTTAAAAATCACCTACATTTGTAGAAAACGACCCAAAACCATTGTCGGCGCCATTTTTGTTGTTTTGTACACATTCTCGCGTGATTTTCCGCCAGATGGTGTGATTTTTGTCCAGGAATTGCTGCGAATAAGACACATTTTATTTGACTTGGCAGGCTAAAACACAACAACAAGTCATAGCGTTGCCAGTGCCATTTTTGTTGTTTTGTACACATTCT